TTCCCGATGTCATTCTCCAGCTTGTGGTTTAACTCTCTCATTAGGACTTAAGCTGCTACTACGGGGACCATGAGTTGGCCTTGCTGAGAGCACCCAAATCCATCCCACTTAGGGGAAAACTGAAAAAGGGAGCTACAAAAAGTGAGCAGGATTCTGCTTTCCCGTGACATGGTACAAAACAGCTGGGGAAGGAGCAGAGAACACTATACGGTGGGTGAAAAATGTGTGAATCCCTAGAAATTCTACCTCTGCATTCATAGAATCATAGAATAAATCATAGAACTGTAGAATGGTATGGTTTGGTTTGGAATGGACCTTAAAGATCATCCAGTTCCAACGTTCCTGCCCTGGGCAGGGACACCTCCCACCAGACCAGGTTGCTCCAAGCCCCCTCCAACCTGCCCTTGAACCCCTCCAGGGATGGGGCAGCCACAGCTTCTCGGGGCAACCTGGGCCAGGCTCTCGCCACCCTCACAGCAAACAAGTTCTTCCCCACATCTCATCTCCATCTCCCCTCTTTCAGTGTCAAACCCTTCCCCCTCGTCCTATGGCTCCCCTCTCTCATAAAAAGTCCCTCCCCATCTTTCCTGTTGCTCCCCTTTTGGGACTGGAAGGGGCTCCAAGGTCCCCCTGGAGCCTTTTCTTTTCCAGGGTCTCTCCAGCTCTCTCAGCCCTTCTTCCAGCAATACCAGAAGCTCATGAATATCTCATTAAGGGGAAAGAGAAGACTTGACCAGAGGCTGGGGCCTTTATCAAATTTCGCTGAGCAGAGTTTCTTTCCCAGAGCATCCTCTCCTGCCTGCAGTCCTGCCATCCCCACAGGCAGGCTTTGGGAGTGTGGCTGTGGCAAACACAGGATCACCAGCCTCCACGGAGAGCTCCAGGTGGGTTTTTATGGCGATAAAACCAGCCCATTCCCTGCTTGTAAGGGCAAGTGGCACGGCACAGCCTACAGCCATACAGCTAATTTTTTTTCCATCTTCCTTCCAGAAAAGGGTGCCTTTGTCCACACTGCTTATTGGGACCAGTGTCTACTCTAAGCTGTCCCCTGCATTGTGCCCAAGCTGCTTATTTTGGGTCTGATTCCCTCTGCCTTGCTGGCCTTTACACATTTCTACTGCTGTCTTGTGAGAAACAAGATCAATGGCATGAGTTTCAACAAGGGCAAGTGCCAGGTTCTGCACTTGGGCCACAACAACCCCCTGCAGCGCTACAGGCTGGGGGAAGTGTGGCTGGAGCTGCCTGGAGGAAAGAGACCTGGGGGTTCTAGTTGACAAACGGCTGAATATGAGCCGGCCGTGTGCCCAGGTGGCCAAGAAAGCCAATGGCATCCTGGCTTGTATCAAGAATAGTGTGACCAGCAGAAGTAGGGAGGTGATTGTGCCCCTGTACTCAGCACTGGTGAGGCCACACCTCGAGTATTGTGTCCAGTTTTGGGCACCTCAATCCAAGAGAGATCTCGAGGTGCTGGAGCGAGTGCAGAGGAGGGCAACGAAACTAGTGAAGGGCCTAGAAGACAAATCATATGAAGAGCGGCTGAAGGAGCTGGGGCTGTTCAGTATGAGGAAGAGGAGGCTGAGGGGAGACCTCATCACTCTCTACAACTACTTGAAAGGACACTGTAGAGAGGTTGGTGCTGGTCTCTTCTCACAAGTAATTAACAATAGAACGAGAGGGAACGGCTTCAAGCTCCAACAGGG